ACGACTGACAAGACAATGTGGTTAAATTTTATGCCATTTTTCATGTGTACTTCTAATATATTTTTTTTTTTCTGAAGGTAAATTATATATATTTTTAAATATTTTACATCCCGAAAAGAAAGATTTATACTCATGAAAAAAGATATAAAATACCTAACCACCGTACCTTCTCAGGCGTTTTACTGAAACATGCATAAAAGAGGGATTTCTGCCGAAATACACACACACACACACACACACATATATATATATACATACATATATCGTCTAGTGATATCAACAATATATATGTTTATCATCCAACACACACACACACACACACAAACTCACACACAAACGCACATATAAACACGCATATATATATATATATATATATATATATATATATATATATATATATATATATATATATATATATATATAGAGTCTTCGCAAAAGCGAATTGAGTCACTGTCGGTCACTGGGCGTGTTTCTAAAAATAAATACGCTAAAATTCACTTTCATTCCTACCGTCCGCCGACGGCTTAATGGTTGGAATCTCCAACTGACACCAATTCAGTCGGGTTTCGATCCTGGCTAGAGGCAACCCGATGTCTAGCCAAACTGATGAGCTGCGAAACACTCTGTCTGTGGATGACGTTATATATGTATATACAAATTTCATTGAATAGACAATTTCTTACGGGATCTAATATTTTTTTTTCTTTTTGGATGATAAATTATTTAAAAAATATTTAATTGTTTTTTTTTTGTTTTGTTTTGTTTTGTTTTTGCTTTGTTTTATCCGAGAGATTTCGGCTAGAAATTTAGCCATTTTCAAGATTGAAATATATTAACTGTTAATAAGAAATAATTTATCTTCTGAAAAGTAACAAATATTAGATCACATGAGAAATTCTATAAAAAAAGTAAATCAAAGCACCTTGTCTGTCGTATTCATTCAAATGTGCATGAAAGAAGGATTACTGCCTAAATACGTACACACACACACACACACACAGACACACACATATATATATATATACATATATATATATATATATATATATATATATATATATATGCAGACATATATATTGAGGAAAATTATATATAAATCATATATAAATATTAACAATGTTTGGCAAATTAATGACAAATTGAAAAGATTTTTCTACAGTAACTTTGCGTCCACGTTGTTACAACATTCCACCATTCTTGGCAGATCTTCTGTTATGACAATAATTCTTCTAATATTTTGCAATACTTGGAAGAGACGCATTTAAGAATAAGCAAAAGAAATGAAAAGAGACAATATTTAACAATATTTCCACAAATTATATCTTTAAATTATGTTTCAAAATTCCATTTTTTGTTCCAGCTTGAACAAAATGATAGGAAATTTCCATGTGATTTGTACTAAACCTTTTAATTAAGGGCTCTTACTAAATAATCAACTGGCGGAAAATTTCAAGACTACCAAGATCCCCATCCTATAAGTGGCGCTTTAGTTGCATTCCATCACCCACCCCTGGCTGAGTTTCATTCACTTTGTCACGTTTATTCCAAATACAATCATTTTTCATTTCAAGAAAATAATGTTTATACGAAGACTCGTGTTTTATTTTTATTATATTTTATTATATTGTTATTCAATGTTTAAAAATAGCTCGAAGAAGACAGAAATATTGGCGAAACATTGTTATATATTACTAAACATTGTTAAACACTGTCCCCTTACGTGATGTAATAATAATAATAATAGTAATAATAATAATAAAGACGAGCATGCTGTCTATTCTCTTTTTGTAACGCCTTGGCAGAAGAAGAAGTGACGTAAGTCGTTAATGATTGGTCGCTTGTAATTTCAAGATCACCAATGGCAGTTATTTAATGTGTACATTTGTTGCGTGCTTGGCAGATTTTTTGGTTCAGGAGCGCCTGTCAGAATAGTTCTGTTTAGGTAGGTTTTCTTGGGCGAGCAAGACCCGCAACTTGTCATGACCCCAAGTCATAACATCACTGACGAGGCGATCCTGTGCACTTCTTGGGGTGTTTTCATGAAATAATAATAATAATAATAATAATAATTAATGTTGGCACCCACTGAATATAAAACCCGACATGACAGAGTGGACCAATATCTGCACTGGAAAATCTGCAACTATAACTACGGGCAGGAAACTGAAAGAAACTGGTATGAACACCACCCAGACCCGGTTACGGAGATAGGACCTGTTACAATTCTATGGGACTACACAATACACACTGACAGAACAATCAAGGCCAACCGACCAGATATTGTTATTAAAGACCACAAACAAAAACGGTGCCTCCTTATTGACATGGCAGTCCCTGCTGACTGCAATGTATCTTTGAAGATATTCAAAAAGTTTTCAAAATACAAGGACCTTGAAATAGAAATCTCGAAAATGTGGCATATGGGAACATCAACAATCCCTGTTGTAGTTGGAGCCCTAGGACTGGTTGGAAAAGATTGCAGTAGACTAATTGAAAGGATTCTTGGAAGTCCATGCCTCAAGGAGATACAAAAAATTGTTCTGACAAGTACAGCCCACACCTTACGAAGGGCTTTATCTATGTAATTTAATTTTTTTTTTTTTTTTTTTTTGTAGAAAGTGTCATGACGCCATCTCTAACCTTAGAAAGAAATGTGTAAACGCCAGAAATCAAAGCAAATAAAAATAATAATAAGAAGAAGAAAGAAAGAAAGAAATATTTAATCACTTATTCTATATGGATGATCTCAAATTTTTGGCCAACGACGACAATGCGTTAAAAGGACTCTTTAATACTGTAAAATATTTCAATGATGACATCAATATAGATTTCGGATTAGATAAATGTGCAAAAGTAACATTCAAGAAAGGGAGAATTATAGAAACAGACTCAATAAGATCTAGATTTTGTCACAAATATTAGGGAACCAAAACAGAAAGAAACCTATAAATGCCTGTTAGTCGGCGAAGATGGAATACAGCATATGCAAATGAATACAGATTATTAAACATAAATTCTTTGGCTGCCTCTGCAGTACGATAGTGTTTCAACAAATTTAAATGGACTATCTTTTCTTTTTATGTGCCATGTCCTTTCAGGGCGTAGGCGTTCATGGCCCTCCACCTCCTTCTATCCCTTGCAGCTCTCAAGTTCCTTCCCTTTGCTTCCTCCCTGAGACAACGCTCTGTCATCCACTTACTTAAGCCCGCCAGGCATGTCACGCGTTGTTTTCCTTTGTATATCTTTCCATCTATTCGATCCGTGAGTATCAAATTCTCCCGGTCCGCCTTCCTCATGATGCGTCCCAGAAAATTCAGCTGCTTCTTCCTGATCTTAAGTATGTCTCCTCCTTGTTTGCGACCAATCTACGACCTCAGCAGTGTCAAAAGGAGAAGGCTACTCACTTGCTTCCGCATGCATCGAGTTATATTGAGATCAAGAGAGATAAGAGGCTTCCAACTCCTTCCGAATTTTGTGCATAAACGAGCTGGCGACTTCCGACAAGCTTACAATCTCAACAGCGCTGTGTTATGCGTGTATCACAATAATTACAGGGTGTCCTTCCATCTCATGCTTTAGCTGTTAGTTCGCCATCGATGCTCTGAATAGATAAAAAGCATATGACTTGATTATCACATAACTGCAGGCTCACAATCACACGTCCTCAAATACCTTACGCACCCTGTAAATTCATTAGTTGTTCACCGTGACGAGACTGACCAGAATTTTTAAATAAAAAGTTACTCTGATCAAAGGAGAAAACAATTCACCGAGGTGAAAATTTTTAGAGATGCCTAGATCACAAGATGAACTATTGTAAATTTGCACCCTGACTCTTACATGTTATCATAGTGTGGGATATCAAATCACAAAAGTGATGGAAAAAAAGAATCTAGATGAAATCGACTAGATTATATACCCAAGGGAAAAAAAAATGGAAATTTGATATTTAAAATTCCCAGCATTTCTTGTTCGTGCGCATGCGTATTCGCACCAATGTAACAGATTTAGCCCAATAAATTCTTAAGGAATGAAATGCGTCACACGAAAACTTTTTTTTTCCACTTTGTCGTATATTTTCCCCCAATATTGTTCTTGATAAATAAAAGTATATATATATATATATATATATATATATATATATATATATATATATATAATGTATGTAAAATGCATAGGAATAGTGAAATTTGTCTTCAAAGCAAAATATTATTTACATCACTGGAAAATATGACAAACAACGTGTTGTAACCTAGAAAAGGTAACTGAATGGAGAATAACCAAAACGGATGTTGGAAATGAAATGGTAATCATTATAACATCAACAAAATAGCGGCGTGAAGTAGGCAAACCACTGCTAGTGGTGGACTACTTAGCATATTACCCCCCACTTACAATAGTGTCCGTATTAATGAGCATTGGGACATACCCATTAGTGTTCATAGGTACAGTATATAACACAAAGAAATAAAGAAAGCTGTGCTGAATATCTAATCTGTAATAACTAATGTCATATATGTCATGATGCCTTTCAGCAAAGTATTAAGAGATAGGAAAATGTCGTTAGAAACAAAGAAAATAGTGCTGAACTGCTATGTAATAATTAATGTCCTATATGACAGTGAATGCTAAACAATCTCATGATGCCTTTCAGCAAAGTATTAAGTATTAATCTCCTCTATAGCAGTGGATGCAGGACAAATGAAAGGATGAAGGAATGTCAAAGACTGAGATGTGGTTGTACTGCCGAATGTTGAGACTGTCAGGGCCTGGTCATGTTTGCCGCGACATCAAAAAAGAACAACAAAGGAACAGAAAGAGAGAGAGTCGAAACTAAAATCCTAGGCGTCGTATGAGAAAAATGCGTTTAGAGAATACAATACTCACAGGATATATTGCAGTTAAAAGACGCGACTTTGAAAGAGCGTGTAACCTACTTAAGAAGTATGCAAACAGAGAACAGAATAGGCAGAACAAAAGAATACAAACTGTGGAGAACAATGAACGCTTACGCCGTTTACCAACTTCGTTTATCTGTTTGTTTTATAGATTTTCCTGCATCTCTGATATACTTCTGCTCTTTTTCACTCTCTCTATTTGTCCCTCTTTTTCACTCTCCGTATCTGCCCCTCTTTTTCACTCTCCGTATCTGCCCCTCTTTTTCACTCTCCGTATCTGCCCCTCTTTTTCAATCTCTGTATCTACCCCTCTTTTTCACTCTCTGTATCTGCCCCTCTTTTTCACTCTTTGTATCTGCCCCTCTTTTTCACTCTCTGTATCTGCCCCTCTTTTTCACTCCTTCTATCTGTCCCTCTCTTTCGCTCTCTGTATCAACCCCTCTTTTTAACTCTCTGTATCTGCCTCTCTTTTTCACTCTCTGTATCTGCCCCTCTTTTTCACTCTCTCTATCTGTCCCTCTCTTTCGCTCTCTGTATCAACCCCTCTTTTTCTATTTCTATATCTGCCCCTCTTTTTCACTCTCTGTATCTGCCCCTCTTTTTCGCTCTCTGTATCTACCCCTCTTTTTCGCTCTCTGTATCTACCCCTCTTTTTCACTCTCTGTATCTACCCCTCTCTTTCGCTCTCTGTATTTGCCCCTCTTTTTCACTCTCTGTATCTACCCCTCTTTTTCACCCTCTGTATCTACACATCTTTTTCACCCTCTGTATCTACCCCTCTTTTTCACTCTCTGTATCTGCCCCTCTTTTTCACTCTCTGTATCTACCCCTCTCTTTCACTCTCTGTATCTCTCCCTCTTTTTGCATTATACTTTTAGTTATTGAGTCTCTGAATGCCTTTCATTTTTGTACAGTTCCCCTCTCCTCTCCTTCTCTAATCTTTTTATCTCGTCCTCCCACCCGCAGAAAGCATCAAAATTCTATTTAGTTTAATAGACAGCAGATCCGAGAATAATCTTTCTTTCTCGGCACTTGTAAACTTCTATTATGTTATGAATTTCACATTGTCACGATATTATTGAGAAACATCTATTAAAAGAAGGAAAAGGGGGAAACAAATATCCGGCGAATAATATTGAAAAGCAAGTGTCAATAGAGATCATAATAATTTGATGTTCAAGCAGTTTTGTGGCGTGACACAGAACTGATCTCTATTCACTTCCAATAAAATCAAAACATTTACGCAGGTAACAAAATTGAGGAAGTTAGGAAATAGGACGTAATAACAGTCCCCAAAGCCTTGTTTAGATACCATATAAGAGATTTTTAAATGAAATGAAAAAAAAAAGAGGCACGTGTACGTAGACTTCGAACTATTTTAATACTTCTTGGGGCAAAACAATGTAAGCTAGAGTAATTGAATTTCTTTCACTTCCTTCTTACCTATCTGTTTTCTTATTTTATTTTCATATTCAACTTACAATTTTCATTAAAAAAGAGATTAAAATGTTATACATTAATCTTTCTGTCATTCTTTCTCTCTCTCTCTCTCTCTCTATCTATCTATCTATCAATCTATCTCTTTCTATATATATATATATATATATATATATATAGATATATCCCAACTCTCTTTCTCTCTCTCTCTCTCTCTCTCTCTATATATATATATATATATATATATATATATATATATATATATATATATATATAATATAAATGTCGAGGGAAATGGTTTTTTCCCCGTGGATGAAAAATGGCCATCTGTATGGGGCAATTTGTTTGGGTTTCATTGATTGTAATTCACTTATATGCTCTATAATAAATATTATATTGAGCTCTTTTTGTGAATCAGTTTTCATTTTATATTGATAGGATCTACTTGGATTACTTGCCCACGGATTCTTTTTTATTTCACCTCTCTCTCTCTATATATATATATTTATATCTCTATCTCTCTCTCTCTCTCTCTCTCTATATATATATATATATATATATATATATATATATATATATATATATATATATATCAGGTTCAGGTTTCCTTTGTGCAACCATTACCACCACCCCATCATAGATGTGTCATTCGTGTTGCTTACTTCTTCATCTATCTGTGAAGTTCTTTTTTATTAAACATTTTTTCATCTTGCTTTGCAGTTTTTCTGATCTACCCTTTTATCTTTTGTCAGTTATTTCAGGGGATGTTACATCCAGACTTACATTATTTTGCCATCCTGGTCGACATAGTCTTCAATTCTGGCAAATGACTTTCGTTTCTTGTACCATACAGTCTAAAAAGGTCATTTTTTTAATGTGTAAGAATTTATACATGCTATCATTGTTTTTCGCTTAGGGTACAATCATTACAGTTCTTCTTTTGCGGAGTGCTATTATTATTATTATTATTATTATTATTATTATTATTATTCCTCCTTTTATTCCTGCTGTATATTCATTTCTAAGGTCAGAAATGGCATCATGAAATCTTCCATTGAGTATTTAAAAAAAAAATGAAATAAAAAAATAAATAAATAAAACTCACAAATATTTTACATAGATGAAGCCCTTCTTCCTTTGGGAGAATATTTTGTTATATTATTATTATTATTATTATTATTATTATTGATGCATATCGTGATCGTTATACATCACCAATAGTTCTTGAATAAGGGGCAATTCAATTTCAATCCCGGAGAAAAGTGTAAAAGACACACCAGAGATGTGGTTTCGTTTCAGAGAACGAAAGATAGACAGAAGAAAAGAAAGGAAGGAAGAGGGAGAAGAAAGAATACGATAACACTCCCAGGAGTTTACATCGGTTTCAGTGAAATGGGAAAATTTTCAATTTAAAATATTTTTATTTGTACCCACTTACTTCTTTAAATAATGTCCTGTATTTATACTTATGATTAGTCTTGAAATATTTTGTTACAGTTTAAACATTTATCGATGCAACAGGAAATTTCTACAGACATTTTATTGCTTCAGGACTCACAATGAGCTTATTTAAACATTAATTAAAGGATGAAGACTCATAAAAAATTCCAATAGAAAACCGTGAAAGTTTTATTGGTATATCAACTTGTTATTCTTCTTCTTCTTCTTTTTTTTTTATTAGTTGTTGTTGTTGTTGTAAAAGAATCACGCGAACACAGTGACACTGGAGTACAGATATTTACTACTATGAGTGGCCGCTCGTTTCCAAGTATGTTTGTCTGCTAGGATAACTAGCTAATCACTGCTGTAAGCACCTAGTCAAGCACATTTGTTCCCGTCTGAATTTCTGGAATGAGAACTTATCTCTATTTAGATTTGGTCTATTGTCCTCATCTGTGTTTTTGTCTGTGATTTCATTCCGTCGGCCGGGTAATGTGTACTTGAACTCAGTAGAGAGAGAGAGAGAGAGAGGGGGGGAGATAAATGAACAGAAATAACTAAGAAATAGACGAAATGTCCCTAGGGTGTCATCGGATCTGCCCACGTAGTTCGAAATTTTACGGAGCATACGCGGAGTTCGACAGGCACCTGATGAAGGCCGGTGAGCCGAAACATTATGATAACAACAACAAAGATGAGGATAACAGTCTGAATGTAAATAATGTAAACGAGGCACATTTTTCTTTGTTTACCACCTACAGCGCCAACCTGTACATTATTCTGCCACTATGCTGAGAGGACCTTAGTCACGTTGCCTCATCTGGCGTGATCAATATTGTAACCAATGTCTGTACGATCAAATCCTAGGGTCTTCGTGCTAGCACAGTCATCGACAGTTTCCGTACAGTTTCGCCTATCCTGTCTTAGTCAGAAAGATTGAGGCAGCCCGAGGGGTAAGGCCTTCAGGCACATTCCAACGTTCCCGCACGCTGTCAACCCTAAGCCTATATTTTAAATGATCGAAACGATAATAGTCTAACTAATCGGCCACATGTCCATATAAAATGAAACAATATAAAGGATAAAAGCAAAGTATCATTAATAGTATTAGTACTAGCAGTAGTAGTAGTAGTAGAATAAGTATTAAAAGAGTACATGCCAACATGGTGATACTAGTGTACCAATCTTCTTAGGGTACTAAGCCCAATATCCAAGTCTGATAAGAGCATACCATACACAACCAAATGTGCGTGATATTATAAGAGACTAGCAGTAGAGCCCGGTGTTGCCCGGGGATGTAACAGGAAGAGATAGATCAAGTATCGACCATCATAAAGACTGAAAAATAAAATTGACAAAGATTATTGTTTAAGGTTGACGAACACGCATGTCTTCTTTTTTTTTTTTTTTTTACGAATTGGTCAAACCCAAACTCAAACAAAAACACTGTTTTCAATCGCTATGAGTCTATCGATTGAATAGAATTTTATTATAAACAATTGTCTTGTAAATGGAATTTTTAAAGCATTCTGAATGTAAAAATAAAGAAAAAAGTGTGCAAGACAATAAGAAACACTACCTGCCAAAAAAAATATTGAAATCGGTTGAAAAATGTAGGAAATCCGATCCCATATATAAACGAACGCACACACACAAACAACTTGGGTTTTTATAATAAGTATAACTCGATATGAGTTGTCCCCCTTTCATTCTGGCGACAGAATCGTGTTTTATCGTGTTTTCAAATTGATTTCATGCAAAAACAACTGTGTTTTTCCAATTTTTGGCGCTGTCAGAACCACCGCAATGTAATTTTACGCAGTGCTGTGAAGTTTTGTTGAAATCGGTTGAAAAATGTAGGAAATCCAATCCAATATATAAACGTACACACACACACACACACACACACACACACACACACACACACACACACACACACACAATCTGCGTTTTATAATAAGTAAGATTTTGATAAAATCAATTTATAACTTTGCAGGTGGGGACCTGTTTGAAATTCATTCAGGTCGAGTTACCCAGTCCACTCAGACGGCCTGTGATTTTAACTGTCCTGAAATATCTACCGTCCGTCTGAAGTTATTATCCAAATCCAATAAATCCTAACTGAAAAAGTTCTGAACCGATATTTGTCAAATTTAAACTCCTTCATTTCCACCCTTAGTAAAATATATATAATTATATTTTCTGCCATTATTAATGTTTAGTTTTTGAGATATTTGGATTTTACGAAAATGCACTGAACATTAGTTATTATGCAGATAATACTAAGCTTTAAGATTAAACTTAGTTTTAAGACCTTTGAAAATGTAATAAAAATTCTTTTTTCTTTTTTTTTCCATAATATATGTTGACAGATGGGTTAAGGGGAGGCTCAAACAACTGCAGAAAAACAGAAAATTATTATTGAGTAAGGGAATGTCCACATTAAAGTTATCAATGGAGCTTTGCAGAGATCATTCGAACGTGTCGAAAATATAAGTTGAGAAGACGAAACAAAGTAAAAAAGTCTTTAAGAACTTGCTTCCCCGAGATGAACATAAACTATAGTGAGTTATAGCGAAATAACCACATTTGACCAGTGCCCAGATCTTTGAAAAGGCTCGGAATGGGGGGGGGGAAAGAAGGACAAAAGGTTTGTGAATAGGGATCTGTAAAAAAAAGCGTCAAAACTGGGCCAAGAATTACATGAAAATTGACTTTTCTAAAGTAATTCTCACGGACGATTCTCGAGTGACATTTCATGGCCGTGATGCATGCGCCAAAGGATAGATTCAGACGTGCCTGTGGCAAAAAGAAAGCAGCAAGGAGGTGGTAGTATTATGATATGAGTTGGAATTGTCGATCAAATCATTATTAGACCGTTGAATTATTTGAACATAAAAGATTTACAGGAGATAAGATAATAGAATGGCCACTATCAAGCTCTGATCTAAATCTACTCAAATCATGTGGCCAATTGTGAAGATGAAATTATATGAAGGTGACAAACA